AACTGGATAAACGTGATAAACCTCACTTAATAACTTTCTGACACTGAACTGAATCACTCACTCATTACTCATTCCCTTCATTAACTGATTACCCATACTTATAAACAATATACCCTCGTGCATAGAAACTGCCCAAATTTACTGAATTCTTGTCGTCATTGTACGATTGATTCCTTCTATCAGACATCTAAATTATAACATTAAAAAATATTTCTGGAATGTAACTTTCTCGTTCGCAGTTTCTTTTAAAAATTAAATGGTCATGCACAACACATACGTGAATACTTATAGATTGCCGTAGGCCTATGTTACAAGTGACGTCAACTTACACACGACAAATAAACTTATACAAACTAGCCGTGATAATTAACACACTGACTGATTCACTTTCTATTTTAATACTTACTTTACATGCTCTTAACTATCTCATGTATGTAATCTACTTTTTTATGTATTTATTATTTGTGATAGCTTATATACTTCGTCACATGCTTCTATGGCTATAGTTGACTCACAAGATCTCCTTGGTAGTAAAAGACGGTTTGCCACTTTTCTTTTTAACCAATGAACTGACGTCACAATCAGATTTGTCTTATGTAATTTAAACTCACTAGAATTTATTGATTAAATGCACATACTGGTTCAGAATCCAAAGAATCAGGTATATCTTTTCTTTCAAACAAACGTGCTGTACTTCATACGATCAACATATTGTTACGATAGCGGAAGTCACGTCACGCTAGTAGCATGTCATGAGATTCTAGAAGGATTATGTCTGTTCGTAGCAACTCTAGTCTTTTCTACGCGCTCTATATTCTTGTATATAAGCGCGCCAGACAATGGATCGGGACAAGAATAATTGTAGATTGAAGAGATAGAGACAGATAATCGAGTCAAGTCGTAAATAAAGTGCGTGAATCGTTGTGAATTATAGCGTGGGTTTAAGTAAAAGTGACTGTGGAAATTCTGTGTATTGCAAAGTTGTATTGAGAAAGAATAAACTAGTTTTATTTAAGAAAGGACTTGTGTCACTGAAGTTCTTCGGGAAGAAAGTTTACGGGAAATCAACAAACAACCAGAGACGTAACAATATCTTCCATTCTTGTAGGTTTTAATTTTATTAGATTAGTAAAACAAGTTGAGGCAAGAAATTTACAATAAAACTGGCTCCTTGTAGTGTCAGGTTTTTATAAGGCCGGATTCTTTACAGTATAGTGTCTGTGACTTGTTGGCGATAAATTTCAACAATAAATGGATAGCACACAACCCATTTGTTTTAAAATAATATAGTAAAAACAAATCAAACGTATGTACAAGAATTCGTTACACTATTTGTTATCACAATTGTATCCAGAACTTTAAATAATTGTCTCTTTTTCGTCAGGCCCTGCATGGCCAGGTGGTTAGGGCGCTCGACTCGCAATCTGAGGGTCGCGGATTCGAATCCCCGTCACACCAGACATGCTCGCCCTTTCAGCCGTGTAGGCGTTATAAAGTGACGGTCAATCCCACTATTCATTGAGTAAAAGAGTAGCCCAAGAGTTGGCGGTGGGTGGTGATGACTAGCTGCCTTCCCTCTAGTCTTACACTGTTAAATTAGGGCCGTGTAGCGCAGATAGCTCTCGTGTTGCTTTTCGCAACATTCAAAACAAACCAAACTCTTTTTTCGTCAAAGTCAACAGAGGCGGGTTCAATTGATTTAGAACACCTTTTGCCAAGACTAATTATATCTTCCCTCATCTGTTATCAAAATCCAATCAGTGATAAATTCACTTTAGAAATCGCCTATTATGGTTAAATTAACAATCACGCAGTCTAATTTCACTTTTACTTTCCCTAACTCACTTAACTTCTGTATCTTTATATATTTATAACACGCGACAGAAAAATCTAGAAATGTCTAGCCCTTTAGTAACAAGAATATTAAACATAACGAGAAAGATTTAGAAGCTTCGAGTAAGTTGACGTCAACAATATTACAAAAGTTTAGTACGACATTTAAACTTTATACACAGCGTACAGAGTTTCGTAACAAAATTTGTCATAACTATTGCTTTTAAAATAATTAACGTTTAACATTCGTGTTATTAAACTAAACAATCATTGATTATTTAATTACTAAATAAACTGAATAATAACTTAAACTGAACAGTCATGTATGTCCAACATATAGTTTCTAAGGTCTGGCTAGAGTTTTTGTACGTAATATACCACCTAACCTCTTCCATCTATTTACCTTGTAAATTCAGGATCATAGTGTTTTTTGTTTTTTACTGCTCTTGGTTCTTGTGTCATAATAGAAGTTATTTTATGTCATATATAATATAAGATGATTTCCTTCTCAAGTGATTATTTGTAAAGAGCATTTCATCACCAGGATGTTTGTGGATTTTATGTGAACAGCCATACAATTGTTTAAGTTATATTTCATGCAAAATTGCTTCCAGATTTAATCTCATAGTACCCATTTTCTTACAAATTTTTTGGGAGGCATGTCCCCAGATTTTTGTAGCATTATCATGCTTTGCATGCTGATTGTGCTTTACACAAGATGTGTTGGCTTTTAATCTTACAAATTGAAAACCCCTTTCAAACATTCTGCGCACAGGCCAATGAAAAGTCAACAAATCATCGTTCTGTTGTAACACTGCATGGGGGAGCGAGACTTAAATTAGCATAAATATGTATATTCTATTATGTTAAAGTACTGTACTATCTCAATGCAGAGTAGTTATTAATTGTTAAATTATATTACTAATAGAAACAACTCTGTAGAACAATAGTATATTAGATATTTCAAGCTTTGACTATCATATACATATATATATGCACTACTGAAATAAAACGTTAGCATGCTCCATTCTTCTGGGGTGCTTTTCCATAAATAACTTACATAATTTTCAGTGTTGATAGTAGTGTCAAAACGATTATGAGAAATACCACGCAATCTTTTTTTCGGTTTGTGTACACAAATTGAGAGTTCGACGAAACCCCTCCTGCGTACGTGCGTGATCACTGTCTACACATTGTGTGACGTTAAGATCCAATAGTGAATCTTCCACGCTAGGTTACCAATATAACTTAGCTGAATTAGAGTACTTTATGTTTCACAAGTATGAGTTTTACGTGCAAGACAAAATAAAAGAGAGAGTGTATATTTACTAAAGTAAAAATTGGGAAGATAACTTACGATAGAATAATTATAGTGAGTGATCACAGAACATTGTTACTTATAATATACTATTAAAAGTTACGGTTTAAACGCCAGAATTTGGCAAATCATTAGAAATAAGTAAGCCTAAAATGTGTGATAGAAATCACATCAACTGCTTATGTTTTTGACCACATTCCGAATTCAAAATCAGAGGCGTGTAATAATAGCATTTCAGATCTATCTTTAACCTCCACAAATCATTCCACAAGAGGTCTTTTGTTCAACACTAGAATCTAGCATATATAAATAGCTTTACAGAGAATGTACTAGTTTTGTTTATTCGGACAGGAAAGTTGCGATTAATAACTTTTTAAGCTTTATTTTTAATTTAGGCGTTTGCTATAGGGCTCGTAATGTTATGATCTGGTTAATTCGTGTAGTAAGTAGAATGCTAGTGCGATATATATATATATATATATATACGAGCAAATGAATGCGTAGTGAATGAGAAGTTAAGTTATTGTGTATTCAATGACAGATTCAGTTCAGTTCAGTCGCGAGAATTATCACGTCTATTCGCTTTTACTTGGTCGATTATCAAAGAAATTCTGTAAGTAAGTTTATTTGTGAACTAGGCATATCATTAGTCTCAAAATATCTGTTCAAACTTTTTTTGAGAACTTAGGCCTCTAACTTGTTTCAAAGTGAACGTATCCTGTAACAAATGTTATTGAAGAAATAATTCGTTATCTTACGTGGGCTGGAGTTGGCACTGCTTATGTGAAATATTACAAAAGAGTCCGCCCAACGGTAAAACACATTACAACAATAAAAAAGACCATGAGGCGATTCTAAATCAATAGTTAAAATTGACCAGAGAGTTTTAAGAGTTCTTTCTAGGATTATTTCCATCTTTTCTCTGATGTTACATATAGGCATAAAAATCACAAGTTTGCTTGTTGGTATCATTTGTTCCCATAGTAAAGAACGTTTTTAGAAACATAAATTTGTTTAGATTGTTTATTTTAGCATAAGGATTACCAATAATGCACTGGGGGGGGGGGACAGTTATTTCAGAAAACGCTATCGAATGATAACGTGTTTTGAATCACACTTGCCCATTTAGTTATTAATCTGAAGAACTGTTTTTTAGATATGTAAATAAATAATACATTTGCACTTCTAAAGTTCTGGAAATTACTAAGTAAAAGTAGCCATGTTGTATGATATTACATTATTCAATCTGTGACCAGTGATTTACTTGTCTTAATACCATTGGCAGCAGAACATAAAATGTAAATTTTCTTATAAAGAAAATGTATTGTAATTTGGTAAAAGCATACCATATTGCATAGCTGTATTTCACAAATCAAGCGTAGTTTATATGCCAAAAGATGGCGCAATAAGCGTATACAAAAAAATTTATAAACGTTTTTTCTTCTGCTATTTTTAACACTTATTAACATATTTCTTACACAAAAAAATATTTTTAAATATTTCTGCTAGGATATCTTCATATATCTTTCAATATATTTAAAATTTAGTGTTTTATTAAAACTGTTCAAATAAGAAGTAAACTTTTAGATATTTCAACATGCTATACATTTAAAGATCAATTGTTTTGGGGTTTGTTTCCTGTTTGAAGGTTGTACAAGTGGTTATTTTTGTAATTTCTTTTGTTTTGGCTGGAAAAGCCATCGGGAATTTATACTATAATAAACTGTGCTATAATTCTATTTATTACTCAATTTTCTAGTTTTTATAAATTTGACTTTACTGCCCTCTATCGTCTCTTAGTAGAAAAGCACTAATAAACAATTTTGATCACACATATCAAGGACAGGGTCGTGCTGGGAGGTGTGGAGATTGTACCTCGTGTGGGATGTGCGCTCAAGTATGTTTTTATTTTTGCTTTCTTAAATTGTAATTAAAAACGCCTTTCGTATTTTTCTTTATGTTATTCTTTCTTTGAAATGTTAAGAGTAACTTAAAAACGTTTGAACAGATAATTAGTATGACATATCGATAAAACTTAATTCTGAAAGTGAAAAAGAGTGAAAACGTGGGTTGGTCACGTTATTTTACTGCATGGGTGGTTACTTAATAGTACTAGTAATACCAGTGGATTGGTATCGTTTACTGTCGGTAGCATTAAAAATGCCAACTCTTCACCACTTGCCTGTTTTTATTAATCATATTTTAGCTGTTAGTGTTATAACCAAACGATTATATAGAGAGGTTTGAATATGACGTTCTCAGTCATACTCAAAATATAACTAAGTGCTAGCTTAACACGTTTATCAAAACAGATAACCCAAGTCCTCTCTGACCACTTCTAAGTTCTATTTTGATGTGTTAGAACTTGCATTTTAAAATGATAAATGTGTAAACAGGTAAAGTTTTATATCCACCTTCAATTTTTCATTTTGTTCTGACAATCTCATGTTTAGACGAGTTACACGAGAAATATTCTAATGGTAATACTATTGCAATTTATATTTATTAATTCGGATATATAAATTTCGGAAGAATTAGGTATAATACATTAAGTTTTCGTTTTCAAATCTAAATGTTGGACGTTATACTTGTAATACTAACTTGTACTGCTAGTCAAAAATATACGCTTTAAAATTAAAACAAATCCATACCGAATCAAACTCAAAGTAGCTCATAACTGGCGTGAGTTTATGTTCGATAATCCGGAGTTCTCCTACAAACCCTTTTCGTTCCTTATTTATTTATTCATCCTTTTTTTATATTATACTTTTTTATGTCACGAGTGTTACACGTAGCCTACTTACCTAGGTTTGAAGAAACCAGTTTTTAGCTGTGTGTGAAACAGTTCAACTCAGGCGTGACTAGTCGCGTAGTTTAATGCATTTCCAAACTACTTAATAATAGTATGGTGGTAATAGCATACATTTATAGGATCGAGGATGAATAAAACTTAAAATATTGTAGGTATCCATAAAATATGACTTGTTGTTTTAACGAGTCTCTAGCTTTTTGTAATCGTATTTCTTGTTTTTACAGAAAAAGTCCGTTACGTAACTTTATTCGTAGTATTATAAAGTCTTGTAAACTACAATTCTCACACGTATATGTTTAGAATAGTAATCACAATAATTGCTACTGCACCGTATTCAGAAGATTGAAGTTTTATCTCGTAGTAATAACCAATCCCATCAACGGGAAGTGTTTTCAGAACGGAGTTGAAATTATATTTGTCAAGCCGTAAGGCTGTGTTCAAAATTCGAGTCGTAAAGGGATTTTTTTTCCATTTTTTTGTAATAAGTGTAATGATAATTATATGTTTCAGAATTTTTCATCAGCCTAAAGAATCCAAAATCTCGTGAATATAGAGAATGACAAAGGATTAAAACAATAATTATATGTTAGTGTAAGCTTATTTGTATCTAAAACATTACTAGAATATAGAAAAAATTATACTCGGTCTTTGGAATTACAGTAATGATGAAAATTGTTAGCTGTAGCACTTTGTGTGTGTGTGTTCCGAAAGAACGGTGTACGCACATGTTAAAAATTTTTGCGAGTACTTCTGAATTAATAAACACAAAGTTTTCAACAAAATATGTGGTATATTTAAACTATTAAAACTCGACCTATTTACTTTAATAGCTGGTTGAAGACGAATAGCATTATTACTAAGCAAGATAATTTGACCGAAATGTTGACTAAGTTTATTGGATACCAATAGGACTAAACTTTGTGATAAAAAAAATTACAAACATTACATGCCCCCTACCTTTCCCCTAGATTGATAGCAAGAAAATACTCGACATTTGTTCACGACCTTCCCTTCTTACTTTAAACTAATCCTGGATTGAGTGTATAATTATTAAAAACGACCGATTTGGGCGACATAATCTGAATATAATATGAAACTCGCTTCTACAAACACTATAGCACATTTTTTTCACAACATACGCGAAGTTGAGCATCGTAGTTTCATGTTCAGATTTAATATTTTGTATGATAAAATAGCTACTTCTAATTTCAATGAAGTACCAACAATACTTTTAGAGTGTTTATCTTATTATGTTTTTAATTATAAAGAGAAATGTGTGTTTAGGGTTCAGCTTACGAAATCGCTCTCTGATTTACAAATCTATGGGAGCCAAACTTAACACCGTTAGGTTGTTTCTACATAAATTTATGATATACGTCCTACTTTTAAGTGACGTCACAAACTACCTTTTTATGTATTATAAATACGGGCTCCTGCGATACGGTTAGGAACAACATGTTCTATGTCACAAGTAATTAATTTATTAGGCTGAAAAGAGATTACCTAATCTAATTTTATGTTCAAACACGTTTGTAAATAATTGTGCTCGTATTGGTTTGAAGCAGAATAACATATACGTTTTTATTTTAGAACGTTGAAGTCAAAACTATTTTCTTCGTTTTTTATCTTACGTTATTTAGTTGGAACGGCTCAAAGACGCTGTCAAGAGCATAATACTTCAAAGCGTTTGAAGAAACCACGTTCGACTTTACGTTCTTGCCAGCGTTAATTGTACAAAGTACGCGTAGGTGAAACCAATGTGGCTTTTCAAGTCTATAGTCTTTGGCGTTTCTATGGAAATGTAAATAGAAAAGACTGGAGTGGTAGTATCCACGCTCGAACATGTCGCTAAAGCGGAAAGAATTAACCACCAGAGGACTCTTCACGCACAGTGAGGATTGGAAAACTCCACCTGATGTGAAGAAGACCGGTTATCTGAAGAAGTTGAAGGTACGTAAAGTCGATTCTGTATATTTATAACACTTCGTTCTACAACAGTATTAACAAGTCAGTGTATCTTGAACTGTCTGATTTAAAGATGAAATTTGGCTCCAGTTGTTTGTAGTTTCTGCTCAACGACAAACAACATGTTAGAAATAGTCGTATACCGCGTGTCAGAATTACCTTTCGAAATTTTTGAACATCGTAATGAATTTCGATACATTTTTATCGTATTCATAACTGTGTGGTTAAATGTATCTAAATGTCTATTGTTTTAAGCATAATGGAATCCGCTCGCGTGAAACTCTATTTGTTTGGGAGAGAATACAAGCTATTTTTTTAGGATATTTTTAATCCTAAACTCGAAGTTAACTTTTTGGCAAATGGCGAAAATAAACCCCCAAGGAGACGGTGTGTCTAGATGGATTTGAAGGAGATCCAACAAATATGACACTATTTATAGAATACACTTTATTCAATCAGTGTGTAGAATAAGCTAGCCCTTACATTTTTTTTCTTTTACAGAGTAAATAAATAATGAAACACTATGACAGTCTGGATATTTTCTCGCTTCTAATTAAGATCTTCCATTTTGTAGTTTCACATACAACATATTACCATCACGTTAAATGTTGGGGATTAACCAAAAATTACAAAAAAATATGTATCTTAATAATACAAATTTGATTAACATATGGAAGATTTTCAAAAAGCCTCAAAGTTTGTCTGAAATATCGAGGTTTTGATTAAATGATTAATTTCGACCATAAATTCAAAAATTGTTTGCTAGGGACACAAGTTTAGTTAAATATATAGTTTAAACAACACCAATTCTTGTACTAATAGCCCTGATGAAATGTTTTTATTATTGTTATGTAGAGAGTAAAGGTTGTTTTTTTTTCCTAACTTTATTGATAAAATGTCTAAATTCCTCCGGTATGCATTACTAATTTTGAAAAACTACTGAGAGGTTTAATTAATGATAGAGTATCATGTAAAAACACCTGACTAAAAATAGACGAAAAAATACTGAATGTTTACTACACACATATATTTAAAATTCTAATTATTAGTTAATTATTTTTTTAGAATCGTTACAAAGTATTCCAACCGAAAATATGCTTTAAAATGACACGAGAAATATCTAATGAACTTATGAAATCGAAAAAATTCATTACATAAAAACCCTAAATATGATTTTGGCAAATTTTAACTGTAATTATTACAATACTGGAAGAAACGTTTTGGACAGTTTGTATGAATATGGCAAAAGTTATGGTATAATATGAAATACATTGGAGTTTTAGTCGTCACACAGTTAATATATGGCTCGAGACTGCACTTCAATCGAGTGTTTTTAAAATGTTTTATATGAAAGTATTTGTGAGTAAAATAATTATGGTATTAACGAAACATTTACATATGTTAATTAACTTTAAAAAAATAAGCGCGATTAGTCGTGATGGAAGGGTTTTAACCAGCGACTTCGAGTGAGATGGGGTGACAAACAAGAGCTTATGTGAAGGAAAACAATATAATGAATTCAGGAAGATAATTTTTTAGGGAGTGGGCACTGAGAAAATATGCTCGGAAAGTTTTAAAGCTCGAATATTAGTCACGGTAACTAACATGAAGGAAAGGGTGCGACGCAACCTTTCCAAAACAAAATTATAGAAATTTAGATTGAGACATGTATTGGTAAACAGTGAAATATTTACAAAAACATTCAGTATTTGTGTAAAGTGTAGAGCTAATTTGAATGTTTCGGATATTTGAGACTTACTACATTCATTAAAAGAAGGCCTCGTTTTTCGATTCGACCTGTACACAGCGTTCAAAATTTGGTGTCATCTCTTCCTTCGGCGCCAAAGAGAAATCACGTGACTTTCCGACGCAATACCGCGTTCAACTGTCACATTCACACATGCACCGTAATTCTCTACGTCTGGTTAAGTAATGTTTTTTGAGTCGAGAATGTAAGATATCTAAAATAACTCTCATACGTGAGGTGAGATTTTTAGTTTTTTTTGGCACACATGTAAATTGGCTTCTGCGCCCATGCCAGTAAAAACAGCAATACAACGATGTAGTAGATAACTAGCTGTGTTAAACTGGTATGTATATATATATATATATATATATAAATCAAGGCGCGACAGGTGGGTTCAAAAGAGAAAGATCGGGAGGAGAGAAGGCGATAGGAGATTCTTAAAGATACTCTGGTGTATCAGTTCGAAATTAGGAACGATGATGCGCATTTAGCTCTTTCTGTAGCTTTGCGCCAAAATTCTGAAATCAAATCCTTGTAGGTAGGAGATAAGTTACAATATTGTATATTACTCACTTGATCCAGTACATTGTACCAGCCGAGCTCTTGTTATCAAACTAAACTAATTATATGACCTATTCTAGATAAAGATACCATTGTATATTGCTCACTTTATCTATCAAACAGATGAATAAGCGACATTACAGTTTGTTTTTGTTCATTAACTAAGCAGTATATATATATATATATATTAATACAGTGTATTTTAAAAGCGCGCATATTAATTTATTCTAATCCTTACGTGTCCGATTTAAAACAACAACAAAAAATAAACAATCTGTCCATAACCACACACCCAGTCATGCTAATTCGACAGTGCTCATGGTCTTGCTATATCCAGAAGTCTAATCCATAGCTTAACCCAAGTCTAACAACTGTTTTATAACAAACTACAGTATAGAAACACTATGAATGTGTAATTAGTTTCCTTTATATTGATTTTTCTATATCAACCTAGTGCGTTGAATGACCTATAAAGGAAACTTTGTGAAATTACTTTCTATAAGTAGCCCATTAAATGGTTATCGTCACAGTACTCCGCCCTCCTTTCTCAAAATTATATAATATTCAAAACTCACAAAAGTGTAGAATTTAGACAAAACAGTTCTATAATGATGTAGTTTTTTTTAAATCTTATTCAGCCTTTGTTTCAGGATGACAAACCGCTGTTATGTACTTTTATTTCTAACTATCCCCATTTATAAATCTTTTGTTTTGTTGTTTGGTATTATATCTCATTCGCACAAAAGGAAAACTCGTCCCTAGAGCTCCAGATACTATACAGGGGCATTGTAAAAGAAATAGAATACGTATATTTGAATACGTTCTATACATCTTAAATATCGTTAAATATTGACAAGGCCTTCTTGAAAGATCACTGCACGAAAGTGGAAACTATTAAAAAACTTAATAAGCATTGTGGTGTTATTGTTTTTGATTTATATGCGTCGCATGTGTACCTGCACAAATGAATCGCTTCCCGCTTCTGATTTCAGTAAATTTAGGCTGTATATCTTTCGTTGCCTTCAGAAAAATAAGTACAGCTTTGGTGGATGTATATATCTATGTTAAATTGTGTGTTTATGTGATTTATCCTGTCTTTATTTGTTAAAACTATTCATCGTCAGTGAACGTTAGACAGAATTTCTTGTTTATTGTATTATTTTTGCAAATAATATTTCTTAGTTATACACAAACATGTTTGTGAAATATGCAAGGAAAAGGACTTTCGCATACCTGTGTCCTTAGAGCTGTGGTTCGCACCCCGTTACCGGCAAAAATAAAAATCGCGCTCCGCGTTTTGGGGCCATGACAGTCAAACCTCACTGTTCGATTAGGGTATCCCAAGAGTTGCTGGTGGATAGTTGCCCTCCCTCTATTCTTTCTTTTCAAAATTGGGGGGGGGGGCTATCGCAGCTAACCCTTGAGTAGCTTTGCGCGAAATTCAAGAAGCAAACAAACTCTCATATTTACTAATTTGGTATTATTGTTTTGCAAGAGATTGTGGGCATTTGAACGTATTTTAAAATATACAAGGAAAAGACTTAAACATTTATACAAAGAGAGAATTATTTAAACTGATATTTACGTTTATTTATTTACATATATGTAGATATATTTAGAATTATTTCTCTCTGGTCAGCCAGTATTTAAAACGTGGAAGTTCTAAGGAGCATCATGTTGTTTGTGAACAAAACTAGCGAAACAGTCTACAATCGAAGCCTTTTGTAATGGTTCGTCTATCAAAGAAAGAAAGATGTAGTGTGACAGGTACTGAGCTCGTAAAATACTACTTTGGTAAACAAAAGCAAGGACTTAAAATAAAAATAAGAGCTTCAACAGGGTTACCGCTGAAGAATGTACTTCTGCTCCTATCGTCTCTCGTGAAGATATAAAAGCTGTTTAGCGATACAAGCTTAGGTATTATGTTCTGTTGAGTATAAACTATTAAGGGATAATAAATTCGTTCGTGATGTGTCTAGAAGATCGGTGCTGTCAGGTTGTTGAGTGTTATATACGTCATTAATCATATTATAGGTGATTTGCTTCTGGAATTCATAGTTTCATCTTTCTTGTTGTACATTGATGATTGTTTTTTTTTTCTGATAATGTTCGTAAAAATGTTGCACCAGACGGTGTTATTCATGGGTGTCCGCAGGAAGAGGCAAGAGGGGGGCACTTACCCCCACCCTTACATTTCACAAACAATTGCACGTATTATGATGTAAACTTAACATCGTAGTCAAACTAAATATTTTTAGTAATTTTTATTAAAACTGTAAATTTTTGTTTGTGTTTAATCACACATAATCGCACATATTCTTTTAGTCTGTTGACTTACACTGTAAAAGCTGATCCTGTATGTACGTGTTTTGCCCCCCCCCCCCAAATATTTACCGCTTGCTTAAAAATTATACGTCAGGATAATGTGTTT